GGTGGCGTGTTCAAGTAGCCCTTGGGCAGTCGCGACTATCTGGACGCGCTTGTGCGCGCGAGTAGAAGCCGGCCAAGGGTCTTCAGGTCAGCGAGTCGCAAACAGCTGTCTCTGTGAATTTGCATGACGTTAAATCAGCGGGCATTGAACGAAGAAATCGGACAGTATTGTTGGCTGGCCGTCACAAAACAACATATTTCACCCTCAGTCACCATTCGATAAAAAATGAGTGTCTTAAAGGTTGTATTTCACAGATGGTTTTCCGCTTTTCCTGTTATTATTCAGGTAATTCATGCGGTAACCGACTTCCCTGTTTTTTTGTACTATCCCCAATGCATGTGAACATTTGCCAGCAATGCATCTATCGATTTACAACAATAACACTTCGGGCGTTTTTCTAACCATGTGACATGGATTATGGTCCATTAGTGTTTCCGCTTATTCATTTTCACATTTTCCAACTGTCTTGAAAGTTCCTTATTATCTGCGTCGCTCTGCATGTTCCTTCAGAGAGACAGTGTGTCCACCATACGAATCCTCAAGTAAACAGTGAATTCCAGAAATACATTTTTTTCAAATTATAACAAGAAATAATGCTTCTTGCACATGCTTTTTTGACCGAAAATGTTCCACCTTCCCTGGAATAAAAGACAACATTCAGGTCATCTCAGAAGTAGAAGCTGTAAACGCTGGAACAATACATTTATTTGTCTAACGTTTCGGATTCTTTCGAGAATCCTTAATCGTAGATAACCATAGAATACTATGAGATATGCACAGATTAGGGTGGTATATTCACAGATTGCGCAGTATTTATAGCTTGTAGCGGCCACTCGCATGCGAACTATGATTACCAACTCCTTTATCTACTGCTGGGGGTCGCAATTTGTGCGATGATGGCTCAATAAATCGTTTCCGAGTCATTTATTGCCACGATTTCGTCCGTTTGACCCGAAAGCGGACTGACAAGCCATCACCGCACCAATTCCGACCCCCAGCGGCGGTTACGGGAGCTAATAATCATAGTTCGCTGCGAACTATAATATTGCGCAATCAGCACATTTATCTCTCTAATCTGTGCATATATCAGAATATTCTACGGTCACCTCTAAGGAAATGTTCTTAACAGAATCCAAAACTTCAGGCAAATAAACACCTTGTTCCAGCGATGGAATCTAATTCTGAAGTGCTTCCTGGACCTCGCTTTGTCGCTTCTTTCGACATTCAGATCATTTCTTCAGTCGAATGTCATAAACTAAGTATGAAAAGGTTGTTGATGTAGCTTATAATACATCCATTGTCTTTTTTAGTTATCTGAAAGCAGCGCGAGCTAAAAAACCAAAAGACACGAATTAAATCCCTACCTAATACCTAAATCAGATGTACTCTTAAATTCTAATTCCGTTCCTCATCATACCCGTTGCGACAGATTCGACTACTGACCTTCTTCATGAGCATCGAAAAGGTTGTCGTCTCCGAGATTACCGGTCGGGAGGGCCGACGGTATCAAGTGAAACTCATCCTCGCCAATGACCCCGAGGCTGGACAACCAATCATCTTCACGTTTGACTCTCGAATGGTAGCCGACACCGTTGCTCACACGGTAGAGGGTTACTGTCAACTTGCCCGACCTGAAGCAAAACAGTCGGACAGACCGCTGCTCATCTGGGGTTGTCCCTTCAGGTGAGTACACACACGCCTGTTATAAAACTGTCACAATACTCGATACTTTCCCGTTCAACGACGCCTCAATTGAACCTCCAAAGGAAAAGCGGAAGCATAGGCGTGTATTGACGTCTAAGTACAACGTATTTAAGGTCAAAAAGATACATATGCGCATGTTGTACAAGGTCAGCCTGTAATCGAACCAATCCGATTGTGTCCTTGAGGGGATAAAATGTCGACTGGCTTTCCGACTCATCCGATTGGTTGGATATAGCACTGATCCCGTCGACAGCTTACGCGATATCACCATGTATAGTGCCGATTGACAGTGCGACGTGTAAACGAGTTGCCAGGGTGGCGTGCGAGTGAGTGGGTGAGGATTGCTCCTAACAGCATCCACCTCCTTAAAGGAAAGATCACATTCACCAGTGAGTCGCCTATGTGGATGAAGTGTTCCGAAATTTTCCCCTCACAACGCCGATATATACGAATTCGTCGTTAGAGAGAAAGAAAAAGATCGAGAGATCGAGATACACTTTATTTCGGCAGCATAATTCCAAAATGTTTGACAAAAAATCCCTCGATTCTCCGTGAATAAAATTTGGCACATTAGCCCCATAACGCCGAATGATCATAAGCTATGCTTAATGACCGAAGACTATAACTATCGAAATCATGAAGAATATCCTCCTTGAATCAAGGGCAAAATGTAGGTCACGTGGGACTTCGTTTAAAATGGTGCTAGCGTCGTGCGCACGTGCCCCCATTATTGTAGTTCGAATAAACAAATAGGGATAAAAATATTGTACACAACGAACAACACAGGCCAAGCAATGTACATATCAGAAAATGTACATGCTGATGGGGAGCCTCAAAAAATTATGATGAAGTTTCTGCATGGATAAGGAAGAAGACTTGTCGAGCACCGGATCAATAGATTTATT